GCGGTGAAAACAAAGACCCAAAACCCGCAGAAAACGGTACTTTGCGATGTTGTTGAGAATCCCCTGAACAGTGTAACAAGATTAACCCTACGTGTGTAACATATATGAATTTGGTTGTTCAGGATTACTTCAAAGTTGAGTTTGTGTTGTTTTCTCGAGTTTTCACCGGCTCCACCGGCGTTCCACAGCAGCGCGTACAAAACCCATAGAAATACGTGGTACAGTGGTGCGCGTCTTAGCAACGTAGAAGCGTCCGTGACGTAGCTCCGCCCCCGAGGATACGAGTAATTCAGGTAGTTGGTAATTGTCGCAAGCCAAGTGTGCAATATCAAGGAAATTTCTATACGTAGTTTTCTATATGTGACTTTAATTCGATGCGTGCGCACTGGCGTTTTCATTATTGCATTTGACGAATTCTGCCATGATTGTCGACAAAACAATGTTTTTATTTTTCGATAAATCACACCCCTTTGTTTTAAGATGCAATATTAAAATGATATAAACATGTTACTAGTATCTGAAAAAAAAAATATTTTCAATAACAGTTGATGAACTGTGAAAATAGTTCGAAAAGAATGGTTCCAATGCAGCGTCACATACAGATGAAAAGGGGTCTACATCCGCCAATAAATGAATCACTCCATTCGAAATGTTCTGATCAAATAATAGCGTAATTTCGAAATTCTGAACAAATTTCATACAATGTCTTAACTGTTGTACCTGTATTTTTACCTACAGAGTCGAGCTGCACATCAAGGTAAGTTGACTCGTCATTTTGTTCGTAATTTAGGGCGAGTGTGTCAACTCATCTAACACAGCAAAGGCTGAACGCAATGCTTCGAGCAGTCAGTGACGCATATAGCCGTGGGTTCATTATAGAAGGCCGAGTGTTCCAATACTCATTAAAAAATATTTATGTGCGAGAATTGAAATTCATATTTATAAATGACATATTTCTATTCGTAAAATCTCCATTTGTATTCGTAAAACCCCCATTTATATTTGTGAAATCTCTAGTTGTATTCGTAAAACCCCCATTTGTATTTGTGAAATCTCTAGTTGTATTCGTAAAACCCCTATTTGTATTCGTAAAATCTCCATTTATATTTGTGAAATCTCTAGTTGTATTCGTAAAATCTCCATTTATATTTGTGAAATCTCTAGTTGCATTCGTAAAATCCCCATTTATATTTGTGAAATCTCTATTTGTATTCGTAAAATCTCCATTTATATTATCTCCAAATGTATGCTTGAAACCTCATCATTTCTATGTGTATTAAAAGTTTTCATTTGTACTTGTAAAATCACCATTCGTCACGTATTGGTAAACTATTAATCTGTATTCGTAAAACCACATGATCGTGCGCCTGGCTGTTGGGCAGATAAACAAGTACAAATTGAGACGTTACCAAGTTTTAATTAGGAAATTTCTTTTTGGCAATTGGAAGGTGTCGAAGGAGTTATCGGCGATAATTATTGCAAATCGCGACCAGGTTGACCTGGTCAAAAATCGTACTCGTGTTTTCCATAGAACAGCGCAGTGGATTGTGGGAAAATCAATGTTCATCAACACATAATGTCGCGCGACGACCACCGACCTCTAAAAATGGCAGAAGATGACACGGAGTCAAAATGTAAATAAATCAATCTAACTATTTTGAATTAATTTGTAAGTTTCCGGTTTTTCATCGCTACTACAATAATACTGAAATATATGAAAATCTACCGCCGTGAAATCGGAGAGTAACACCTCATTGTCAGACCAATCAGAGAGCAACGTGTTTTTTTCGACGCATCAAATTCTACCTTGTCCATTTCCACGATCCACCTTAAATTGAGCTATGGTCAACATATGTCAAAATGTACGATAATATTGTGTAGTATACCTACTATGCGAAGATGCGTCATAGCACTGCGCATTCATAGTAATGTCGTGAACTATAATGCATCGTACTGTCAGAAATGGGTGACTAACGGTAGGTGGATGGTGTTCCAGACCTTCATTCAGAAAATGGCGGATATATGGCATAGAGTACAGACTTTTAATCAAAAATAACCAAGTCTCGGGAACACGATAAAGTGCGTTGCCATGCCAACTTGAAGTATATAAGGTAAATCACACAAAACGCCTGACCTGATTTGACATTATTTAGACGTCTACCCACATCGATTGTGAACAATAAATAAAATAAATGTAATATGTTGAATTTAATACCTTCACCGGTCTTGAAGAACCAGACCCAAAGTGATACAGTGTCAGCTCAGATCACTAAAGACTTCTTTAGTGGTCTGAGATGCCAGGTGTCGAGGAATGACACCTGCCGACGTATCATGTTGGTGCATTCTGTGATCCAGTCCAGTTTTGTAATAGTATCGTGTACCGTGTATTAAAGGGCGTTGATCGACGCGCTGCGCATGTGCGACATTTGTGTTGATTTTTTGTGTTGACATTGATTTTCATTGACACGCAGATCGCCGCAAACCAACCGATCTGACACACACCGCGCGTGGAACTATGGGAAAAATGGTCAGAACTACTGTAAAGGGGGTAATTATTCACTGGGTTTTAATTTAGCTTATTTCGCTGACTGGAAAAATGCGCTAAATTAAAACACAGTGAATATGTAAAATTTAGCATAGAACACATTATCTAAATGACGAAACCGTGAATTTAAAACCCACTGAATATGCCCGAAATGGTAAATCAGTGAAATTTAAACCCAGTGAAAATTAGTCATTTTACAGTATTTCCACTTTGTGTCAACACAGGTGGCGCTATTCGTTTGACCCGGGCGCATCTTGCACTAATTACCGCCGGCGACTCCTTCGATAGCTTCCAATCACCTAAAAAATATTTAATTAAAGCTTGGTAACGTCTCAGTTTGTACTCGTTGATCTGCGCAACAGACAAAGTCGCCATCTTTGTTTATATGAGACCCATATATCTCGAGCATGCGTGGCGCGACAACTACCGCCCTTTAAATATGAGTGTAAGTATTTATGTGCAAGATAGGGCATTGCAGGAAATAACATTATAAGGATTTATGATACCATGCACGCGTCATGTGATATCGCGAAACACGATCAGAACTTTGGTCGGAAATTAGCCTTGTTTATTGCGTATTTTGAGGAACTTGTCCTAATATTTTTCCAAAAATCGTAATTTTTTTGAAAAATTCCATAGAGCAGTGTGCATTTTTTGACACCTTTTAAAACACCATCATTCACATTATATGATTTTTTTTCAGCCTAGGTTACCAGACTACAATTTGAGATATGGCATAATGTCTACCATAGGAACCTATGGTAAATGCGTTATAACACTGCCAAAATGCCAACTATCCACTAAAATACAACTGTGAAAGATTAAATGAGTGTTATTAAACATTCACGTCAGAGGTAACAAGTTCGGGGAATGCTCCTCCTTTCTATCGAACAAAGACACACAGAGAATCGAATCGTTCCACATTTGGTCTCAGCCGCGTTGTAGAGCTTGCCACAACTCTGAGATCGGCTTTATTCACATTCCAACTGTTAACCAATTACAGAGAAGTTAAAAGACTCTAAGGCGTGGCCTCCACACATATAGCCAATCACGCAAAGAACTCAACACGCCATAATGTCAGATTAATTGCCCCCAATGCCGGGATATAACTCTCATACTTATCGTCGCCACAAGGGCTAAAACAACACTTTATAGTCGACCATTATATCAGCCAGTTGTTCCAATCACTAATTCCCTAACATACGAATGGACCTGATCATGACAAGTTACGAGCAGGTGTGGATTATCCAGGGGTCACCATTGGAATATCGCTATAACTGCAAAAAGCGGCCTCACCGAAATACATGAAAATATAAATCATGACACAACCATCATTTTCTCGAAAATTAGGCTAGACCCCCAACTTTTTTGAAGTCATTATGCAGATATTGCCCGGAAGTAGAATTTATTTTAAAATAAATAAATTCTAGGTAGTCTTCTACCTTGATAGCACAAAATCACACACATCAATATGTTCGTACGTCCAGTATTTCTTGATCATTTTCCTCACTGATTCATCGTAATATAGATAGAAGGACGTAAGGGTTCAGGATATACCCCGACGCTGTAGTGTACATTGACAAGACAAAGTCTATTCGGAATGAGCCGCGAAATCACAGCTAAGCCTGTTGCCCCTGGATATTGGGAAACCAGGATAAATCTGTGTACTAATGGATTATGAATAGAAATGTTTTTATGAATAGAAATGGTGGTTTTACGCATATAAATATGTCATTTATAAATATGAATGTAAATTGCAACACTCGGCCTTCCATAATTCATTGCTCCACTTGTGCTTATTTTCGTTACTTGTGGGCCTTTTTCTACAAAATTTGCTATGATTCCCTTTTATCACGATTTCACGTATGGGACCCATGCCCAAGAAGACGCGGAGTAACGACTGCGGCGCTATGAATGTGGAACTTTCATTCCAAAATGTAATATATGTGTGGGGCACAATCCGGGGCAAATTCATTTATCATTGTAGAATCCAACAGGAGATTGAGGCAAACTGTTAAATACATTTTTTTCTAAAGAATGGTCTACATGTATTTAAAAAGACACGTTTAGTTGTTTTTATTAATATGACAAAACAAACATATTTGTATTATTTAAAGAAATAGCCCCTAGGATGTACTTAGTGATCATTTAGTTATTTGGCTTGGATGCATACATTCTCCAAGTCTCCAAGCTTCGACTAACTACTGTCGTTGGTGGCGTGCTCGGGAGTGAATGTCAATAATTGACTGAAAATGAATATAGAATGACAACAAATTGAGTGTAATCCAATAATGTAATTTATTTCGATTTTGGAAATTTATTTTGATTTCTCAATTTTATATTTTTTTATATTATGGTATATGTTCAATACTTTTAAAAATGAAAATCATTTTTTAAAACAAATAGAATTTTTTTTCTATTTCTGGGCCTAAACGTTTTTTCTATCTTATTGACCCTTGTCATATGTATTCACAGTGTGTCATCCGACCGACGGTCGTCTCTTCGAGTTTCACACACGCCCTCTACTATGGGAAGACGCGCAAATTAAGTGCGAGGAAAATGGTGGTCAGCTGGCGACCATACAGGACACAGAAACCTTCGAATTCATTAAGAGTCAGATTTTGGGCACGCCAGAGATTAATGATGATGTTAAGACAGGCATGTGGATCGGACTCAATGACAGATCGATGGAGGGGTTATACGAATGGGTGGACGGAACGCCTCTTCAAGTTGATGATTTCAAACTTTGGTCTGCGTCGAATCCGAACAACAACATGAACAAAGACGCCTGTCATGGACAAGACTGCGTGCAGATGTGGTGAGCAGAAACTTCTTTTTCTCTTTAGATATTTCAAATATTGCGATAGCGAGCGGGAAAAAGAAACTGACGGATATATCTGTTCATTATTTACGCATGCGCATCTATATGATGCGAACTGACATTTTCACAGTTGTTTCTGAAGTGATACTGAATCAAGTTCTGGCATTATATTGTATGCATTTGGTTCAGAAAAAACAGCATAACAAATAAAATACTGAAACCATGATTATTTATACATTGTCATACTATTATTTACATGATGAACAGTAAAGTTATCTTTAAGGGGTGTGGTCGTCGCGCCACGCACACGCGAGATATGTTGAGTGTTGCGAAGAACACGTGATTTAACTAGTTAATTCCTTCCCGGAATGAATAAACCACATCAACGTATTCAGTGCCTACCATGTCAAGATCCCATCTCTCGTTGGTGCTTGCCACTGAGAGGGCGTATCGGATCGTGGGTAAATCAATCAATTACCAACACAAATGTTGCACATGCCTGACATGCGTGATGCGACGATTATCGCCCTGCAATATCGAATACAATAAGACCGTGACAAATACGTCGTATTTGATAAAGCAGCTAAGCGCGTGTCATCGAATATACGATCCGTGACACCCTTCGCGTTCGGACCAAAATGATCCCAACTGCAATCACACTTCATAGTACAGTAATATAACTAACTATGTTATATATAATGTTAACTTTTTTTCTGATTTTTCGTTTATTTATCTTGAAGGAAAAGAAAAAACTGGCTGTTGGACGATGACTACTGTTCTTTTAGAAAGAAGGACTTTATTTGTGAATATTTCAATAGCGGTAAGAATTCAAGTTGTTCTCCAGTGCATTTCCACGCAGATTTTATTAAAACAGTTCTCCCAATGATCATGGTTTTCAAGCTACACAAAATTAGCAATACTATAATTTGCCCAGCATATCATCGATAACGAAGGAACCGCCAATATTTAGACTCTTTCGTCTTGCTCATACGATGATATCTTCGCACTCAAAGTCGCCACAACCACAATTATGTTGTCACTCATTTTTTTTTGTTCACTTTCTTTTTCATTGCAGGCGAATGCACGGCGTTGTAATCGTCGTTTCAATGAGTCGCAGTCCATAGGGGGCGCTATTCGGGATTGGTGCCGTAGTTATTAAATCACATACTATTAAACAAATGTTTTACTACCTCTTTGAGGAAATAAAAAAAGACAATCGGCATTCATGATAATATCATTCCTACATATGTTTCGTTGTATCGCAATTTCGTGTGTATATTATTTTACATTGCAACAACAAGCGTTATTTCATTGTAGGGTTCTAGACATCTTCTAGTAGATTGTCTTGGTCGCCTTATCTATATCTTATCTATGTTAGTTAAAGGTATTAATACACTTTGGGCGAGGATCCCCTCTCCTCCCCGATGATGTGAGAGATCTACCTTTGAAGATTTTGTTCTGACACTGTTAAAAAAAATGCTCGTCACGGTATCATATTCCCTCTAAATGCGTGTGTATTTTTTATGTTCAAATTGTAACATGTTCGTAGTGGACTAGTAAAATATACAAATAGTGCTTCGTGAGGTTTTCTCATCTGACTTATTTGACGTACAATGGTGTTGACTGGCGTAGAATGATGTAGAATAACGTGGGTAAGCGCTCGTCGACCGAACGGCAACATACTTACTTGGATTTGGAGCACCGCGAAGGGCGCAACTCACGTGACCTCGTCAGGCTAGTTTTAGGAGTGCGTTTGTTTTGATTAATCGTGACTGTGATTGTGTTCGATCACACTCACGGTCGTGATTGGTAATCATAGCAACAACGCTCTCGTGATTAAAGATGTCGGCCATACAACTGACAGACATAGGACAATGAATAGAATGCAACTATGCAAAGGTCTTCAAAAAGTTGGCAATTTTTAGCTAAACGCAAGCCCACATATTTTCAGATAATATAGTTTCTGCTAATTTTGTGTGATTTAGAGCCTCGATATCAAACTAATCTTATTCATGATCGTGCAAACTCACGCGCATCCAATTCTCGCTTTGATGACTGTTATGGATATCTTGAATCTTTTGTTGCGGAATATGCCCCTTTAACTTGAATTAACTGAGACGCCCTCAGTGGTTGAAAACCGATACGCAAATCCATTTCATAAATCTGCTTTCCTGTCCATATCCCGTTTCCTCGGCAGTATAAGTACTGCATTTTCGTTTTTCAAGTTTGTGTGTGCTGCCCTCAACTATTCGTTCCAGTTTTCCCCTGTAATGCGATGTGTGGTGGCGCAATTCAATCACGTCGACAGTGCGATATGTGTTTATTTGATGTGCCCTGTAATATATGTTGTGTCTACTGCATACCGCAAACAAGTCGTGCTCACCTCATCGTACCCAATTTAATATATATATAATTAACACGACACGTACTTTCGAAGTAGATTGTGCCGTACTGTGCTAATATCATTTAAACGACCCCAAAACACTGACAAATATTATTGAGGTGAATAATACTAATAATAACTTTATTACACTACCGAACCATCAGCGGGTTCAGTATGGTAAATAAAAAGTATTACAAGACTAAGACAATTCTAAATATAATACAATACAATACAATGCAATAATAAAATATACAATACAATACAATACAATTAAAACAATTAATGTTAAAAACAATTACTATAGAATCAATACAATTAAAATAAAAACTGATCGAAATAAAGTACTAGTAATTTTGTCCCACCACCCCCTCCCATAATGTATCAAACGTCTATATTTTGAATGCATATCCGATTTGATCTGTCTCTGATTGATACTTGTGTAATGAATGGCATTGAATCAGGTCGCATGCCATCGTATAGTAGAGACACTGAACCCGGTTTGAAAGTACAGATATATGGTTTAGTCATTAGTTTTTCAAGCATTGTATTAGCCCAACTTTCACAGGACCACCCTACGCAGCCTGTACAAAACAATGTCTGAATCAGCGACAAAAATATTTCGCGAAAATAATCCAACCCTTTACAATAGCGTATGATTTGATATTTGGCCATTGTCTGACACCACAAGCGCGGAAGTCAATCCGGTCTTTGCCATTCAATCACGTCTCTCTATTCTGGCCCACTACCTGGGGCCAACCTCCCCTGGCTTCAGTGTATTACGGACAATCACGTATTACCATCTAATTGTCAGTCTTGTAGCATATGAAATACAAGCACATAACACACAACATTATTTGTGCAACACCTTTCATTCTCGCGCATGCGTATACCATGGTATTTGTGAGGTGACGGCGTGATCTTTGTCGCCGAAATAAACGCCCATTTTTAGCGAACCTTGTTTTACTGTCAATCAACGTTAAACCTTAAACCTTCTCATTCTAAGCTCTATGGTGAAACTGATATGGTTCATCTCAACTTATCAACACTGTACGTTGCTATTACTATTTGCAGTATCTGTCAGGTTCCTTTAGATTCACCGCAGACAACTGATAAATTTCACCGAGTACTCAGTACTCGATGTAGTTGTTGCTGCTGTCGTCGTCGTTAATATTCTTGATTCCGATTCTCCACGTCATGTGTGTTTTATCCATTAGAAATTAAAAATATGCAAAAGAAAGAATCATGGAAAAAATCATGCATGAATCAAAAACAGAATAAAAAAAATCAGCACATCTAAATCTTAATGTACAAATATTTCACAGTGACAAAAACACACACAACCTACAGCCACAGTCCCTCTATCATGTGCTACAGCAAATTGGTCATCCCCATTGCCCACCCCTAATTCCGTCCTTACCCTTGCCACAGCATGCTCACGTAGTAATTACCTTATATCGACAGAAAATTTAGAAACTGTCGTCAATAATAATACTTTTTTATTCCACTATTTTTTAAATGAAATATTAACGCATACAGTGTGGAGTGTGTTGCATCCTCGTTCCCAACAAGTTTTATGGGAAAGATTAATTTTAGTTATCATGACCGGCTTCAAAAATTATGCAAGAATTTTTAAACCAACTGCGCTGAATTGTAGAATTACCAATTGTCGATTCTTATAACAGACGCCCTGGTTATTATTGCGACCTATGTTTATAGTGACCACATTGAGTTGAATGTACGATATCTCGGTCAACCACGTGATCACACCACATTCCTGACGACATTTGCATATTGATCAGACACTTGAAAAACAACGCTCGTTTTTCAAGCTTCGAAATAATCGCTGCCCCTAGCCCCTCCCCGACACACAATCACATGATCATATTTCCATAGGGTACCCTCCCCGCACCACGGGTATGGTAGGGCCCACCCCACCCCTGGTGACAGAATATCAAACCTGACGAGATAACTGGAAGACATGGAATCGTACTGTAGAATACTTTATTTTCGCTTGGAATTTATTTTCGCTATTTTCGCTGAAGGGATGATTCCGTGAAAATAAAATCCAGCGAATATACTTTTTTTCCTATGTTTCACATTAAACTCATGAAAAATCAGTGAAAATAAATTTCAAGCAAAACGCCCAAAAAGCCTTTTCAGCGAAAATTAATTCCAGCGAAAATAAAGTATTCCACAGTATTTGAATCCCTACTTGTGTGAAATAAAAAAAACGAAACAACAAAAAACACATTGTCGAACAGGCCAAGGAAGATTTTTTTAGCTCCGTGACCAGACGTAAACAGTCTGTGATCTTTGACCATATTTCAATGGGAGGCACACATTGCGAAATCACATATCAGTGGATAGGGTACGTAAGTTGTTTACTGGCACAAGACGAGAGAAGGACAATTAAACCGTCATCTGCCATTATTTACTGTATATGATATGAAGGAATAGGGGCTGACCATTAAAACACGGGTGTGTTAAATTCAGTCGGGAACGGGAATCTGCACAAAAATAAATGTCGCATATTTTTTTTTAAATCCCACACATTCGATGGAGATAGGACACAACGACAAATATAGTTATATTGTATAATTGTCACCTTAAAAGAGTCAAGCTCAGTGCTATCATGATTATTTCTACAGTACAAGTATGGTTTTAAATTGCACACTGATATGCAAATGAGGCCTATATACGCGAGGCTAGTGATCTAAATTGAATAAACTTTATGCGACCTAAACAGACCATCAGTACTGTTATCGGCACGCACACACATACTCCTTGTAAACGGTCAGTGTATTTCAGTAACCTAAGTATTACCATGGCTACGGTTGTATCTGATAGAGGGAGTGCATCGTGTCGTACTCTCAGATGGAGTACTGCGACATTTTACTCCAAGCGAGGTAATTTGATAAACCGGACACACAGGAACACGGATGCAACATTGTTCAGCGACCGCAAAGTAAACACGACGGAAATTAATTATTAAATTATTTTGTCTACGGTTAAATAATCTAGTTTTAGTTATTGTATGCTTATTTTTACAAATTTGCGAAGCTTTCCTGTGTGTTATGCTAGTGAGTTGCACGTTGTCTGCGAACGTTCGAGGTCAACTAACACACCGGTCACGCCTACTTGATTCTAAAGGTAACATCACATGCTCAACAAAAGCTATTTTCAGATTGAGAAAGGCAAAACGAAGAGATCGATACTGAATGTAATTTTGCTTAAGTGAAAGCAATTCAAAGATTGAACAATTCAGTTCATAATTCCCTCAGATTTACGCAACTATTTTCCGGTGTTAAATTATAGACAGTATAGTAGTCGTACTATACTGGCTACGGTTAAATGAAATACATTCATGTGGTCTTTCTGTCTGACGTTGTGTTGATGGTTTGACTAATAAAACAGAAATCTGCAGGGATTGTGTCTAGCTAGTTTAGCCCTATGTTGTTTTCAGAAGCATGTCGTGATACGTTTGGAAGCCTCCGATATGAACCCCGCCCTCTAAGTTACAATATAGTCATGGTAATGACTCATACTGATATCAACATTTATAGACACTTATTAATAACATACGATGCCATCTAAGAATCGTCAAACTGACATGATAAACGAGTTTTCTGGTTTGTATCGTTTCGAGGACAGCCTGGGAGCTCACTTTCTGGATTCCATAGTCAAGATTACAGATACCCAAATAGTTATACTTCATAGTCTTGGCTTAATGTTAGAATCCCGGAGCAGCTCTGCCACAGGTGAAGCATACTCAAACTATGGGGAAAAAAGTGCAAAAATACATTTGAAAAACGCTTTGTATAATTTCCGAGGTAGTACATAAATAACGTAAAGTATAATTTGGTTGTGAAACGTGGTGCCGGAATCTCCATATCATTTTTTTTATAAATAACGTTTTACAAAATAATAATCCACCAGTTCATGTGAGAGTAATCAGTTGTATAATGGTTTTACTTGTAAATTACATATATACATCTTGTGTGAATAAAACAAAATAATCAATATACTAGTAAAAAGGGAAAAATAAAGTGTTACAATCTGTTTGCCATATCTGATCACTTTAACAAATAATATGGCTAAATCAAATAAATTAGGACAGGTAAATAAAAACACAAATGACACCCCATGCAGTAATGTCATGGGGAAACTATGTTCAATCACTGTATATAATATACTAATGTTGGTCATCGTGCACTTTTTGAAATTGTCAGCACAGTGTATTCTGTATACTTGGAAAAATCAGTCATATAGAGATGGTGTTAATATGGGCGACACTGTTAGTTAAGGCTGTGGTAGGCCTTTGTCGAACAACAAGACGCGCGAAGTTGAACAACAATGAAGCCATACAATGGTCAAAATCGTGATTTCAATGCTGTATTTTGAAACTGTTGAATGTCATTACTACAGAAATGTTCAAGCGAATAGTTGGCTCCACCATTATTGTCCCAGTGTGTTTTGCCGTTCACAGCGTAGTAAATGGCAAACTCCGTCCTGTTTATCGGCGATGGGTATGCTACCCCGTCCAAAAGAAATGAAAA